TGGCCCTGGGTCTGCTTGCTGCTGCTCCTCAGGCTTCTCCGCGGCTTCTACCTGGGTCTCCGCCTCCTCCGCCGCCCACATTTTGCCCCCAGCCGCCGCTACCGCCACCTGCGCGACACGGGCCCTGTCCAGGTGCAGCTCTGCCCCCCGCAATGCCTGCGCCCCGGCCTCCAGGGCTCCAGATTCTGCACAGCCTTAGCCCGTAGGATGGAGGTCGCCTGGCCATCCCACCTGCGCCGGCCTCCATGGTCCCCATGGCCCACACCGCACCGGCGCCCGCAAGCCTGCGCTGTCGCCTGAAGGGCCCTTCTCGGTACCCTGATAACCTAAAGGGTCTGGGGAGGCCCGCTGTCTCCTGACCCAGACGGACCCGCCATGTGGCACTGACCCGGGGATGAGCAGTTGCCAGGAAGCAGGAGGAGGCAGCCCGCGACCACGGCCAAGCCGGGTGGCACGCTGTGTGGCGCTATTGTCTTTCTCGGGATACTTCAGGCACACTCTAGGCTTCAAGGGGGGAGGCTATCCCCAGGCATCTGGTCGCCACCTTGGGGAAAGGCACACGCACCAGCGATGCTGGGTTTGCTGTTCCCCTCATTCGGGGCAGCCCCTCATCTACTCAAAGCAGGGAGGGGAGATTGCAGTCTGTTCCGCCCCTCCCTTTGCCCGCAACTGTGCCTCCTGCCCCCGGCGGCCGGACAGTCCGCAGGAAGCCCCATGCCCGGAACTGGTAGCAGGAGTTATCCTGAGATGGGCAGTTGCCAAGAAGCCGGACGTGGCGGCACCTTCCACTGCCGAGCAGGCTAGCACACTGCGTGGCGCTCTTGCCCTTTTCCGGATACTGCTTCCTCTCTGCCACGGAAGAGCTGGCAAGGATTGTTCACATACGGAATTAGTTTTCTATACAATTTCCCAAGTGCGCCCCATTTCCTTCTGGTACAATACGCCTCGACAGCCTCCGCCGGGTCGGTAGATTGGTTGGAGCCTGGTCCCACACACCAGAGAGGCTGTGGGTTCCAAGCCTGGGCAGGGAACATACCTAGGGGATGGTTTCGATCTCTCTCAACCTGCTGGTCATGAAAGGTAACCCATCTATATTTCTCTCCCTCTCTCATATATATATGTGATAGAAAAATGTATATATATTTATTTATATACATACATACATACATACATACATACATATCTTCTCTCTCAAATCGATAATCATATCCTCAGCTGAGGAGTGAAAAAACAGTAATAACCAGTGTCATAGGCTATGGGCAGTAGGGCCTGTCTCAACATTATGGTATCTGGGATCCAAGCTAGAGGCCATGGGAAGCCTGAGGCTGTAGGGGACTATGGTGTCCATTATTGCAGCTGTATGCTCAGGAAAATGAAGGCCAGGAAAGGGGCTCATTCAGTCTGTCCATAGATCATTCCCTCTCTGTTGTTTCCATGTCTCTCCTCCTCACTTCTGTCCTCTCACCCCTCTCAACACCTTGGGTTGAAGAGATATATAGCAAGAGAAAATTTAAACATAGATATACTGATATTCAAAAGAGTTCTTTATTAAATAAAATACCATTCCTATCAACAATAGACACTTATACAGGTGACCAGTAAAATCGGGGTCTTAGTTGTGCACCCTCTTCCAACAGTGCCTTCCAAATGGTTCAAAGAGAAATCTGTGTCTCCTGTAAAGGTATACAAGTCTCAGTATCTGTAGCTGTTTTGAGAGTAGCTGTAAGAAAGGTATTCTGTGCCTTGGATAATACATTGAAGCCCCAGGGCAATATGTGTTCAAACATGTCCCAGTCAGAGGCTGCTACATTTTTCAGGCATTCACTGCTACCAGTGAATGGAATGGAACTGTGCCCAAAACATAAGTGCCCCTTCCAGAGACTGCTTCCTTTATGCCATGGAAGAGCATTCATTCATTCTATTGAATCAGGACCAAGTTCTGCTCCACACTTCAGGTGCCAATGCCTGCCAGTCCCCCATTATATGCTTCTCAGCTGTCCACAGGCAGCAGACAAGCTTTGTCATATTCTTTGCATAATCTTCACACACCAAAATCCTCCTCAAATATCTGCGCTGTATGTGCACCCTCAAGTACTGAGTGTGGAAACTGGTATGGAGGAAGTCATGTTTGTCTCTCCAACATTAAAAGGCGCTTGGCTTATGTGAATGCCTCTTTGGGGGAATAGGTTGAACTGCAGCTTGAAAAGAAAATAAACTTTGTTGTGTCTGTATTTCTTCCAAAGTTCAATATCCTCTTTGGGCTTATGAATTTCACAAGGCATAATAAGTCTGTTGACAGAGGTCTGACTTTGCCCCATTTTTTTCTTAATCCTGATCCAACACTATTTGTTCTATTGGTTTTCAGATGGAGTTGAAGGGTTACAGAGAGACACTAATAGTAAGAGACACTAATAGTGAGAAACACATCTGTTTGTTGCCTCTCACAATAGCCCTAAGGGTCTGTGAAGGAGCCTTCAAGTGAGGTAAGTGTCCTTGGCCAAAATTGAACCTGGGACACTTCAGTCCACAGGCCAAGACTCTAATTACTGAGCCAAACTTGCCACAGAAGTCCCTTTTTGTAACTGAATGATCCTGGTTGCTACCATATGTAGCATATACCTACATAAACACAGGTTCTAGCACCTTCCCTGGTATTTAACAAGGTCTCTGACCTACACTCCTACAAACTGCTGCAAGCATATTTCACAGTGAGAAAGCTCTGACATTTCGCATTCACATTTTGCTGCTCATGGCTTCTAGTTTAACAGTCATGCCAACCTGAAACCAACATCTGTCTTCTATGATTTTAAAGGCCAATGTTAAAAAAAATATGGAATGTGTTTAACTACCAAAGTCAATGAAATTGGAACTGATGGGTCAGGATTTACTGTCATGTGCCTGTTATCTAGGACTGTACAGTCTCTGTCTCCTGACCAAAGAACCAGACTTGTAATCAGGTCAGTCAGTTCTTCTCTCCTCCTCCCAGACAACACATTGAAAGAATAGAACAAAATCTTAAGGCCTCTGAACCTTGGTCTGCACTTCCATGTCCCGCCTCTTGCCAAACGGGTGGAATTCAGAAAAAGATCATCCAACAGCTCTTTGTGAGGTCATCCGCAAAACACTATTACATTTCCCTGCTACAAACAGCACAAAGATGGAATCTCTTTTTGAGGTTCTTAACTTCTCTCTCACAGATTTTGTGCTGTCACTGTGGATGTCAACAGTTGGCATCCTGGAGATGTCATGGCAGGGGGTATGAGCTATTGGAGCCCAGGGGTGTCAAATTGGAGTGTGATATGAGAGGTTTAGGGTTCACAATGGGGTATGGCAGTGGGAGTTCTGAAAATGTTATAATACAGTGAGGACAGTGGTGTACCTGGGTGTCATAGTTTAGTGTGCTCCATGAAAATCCTTGGGTGTAAAAATGAAGTGTGTGCTATGGGAGCCATGTTTTGTCTAAGTGGAATATGCACTGTGGCAACCCAGGGAAATCAGAGTAGAATGTTGGTAGAGGGATCCTAGTTCACGAGGGGTAATGTGGGCCATTGGAGTCCTGAGGTTACATAGTGGTCTCTGTGTAATGAAATCCCTATGTTGTCAATGTGGAGTGGAGGCTGTGAAATACGAGGGGTGTCACACTTTACTTAGGTAGGTGGAGTGGTAGCCATGGGTTTTACAGAGGATTATTGGCAGTGTAAACCAATGTACAAATTTGAATGTGGGCAGTCAGAAACCTGGTTATCGCAGTGGAATGTGAGCAATTTGAGCCTGGGAATATCACTTGCTAGTGTTGACAGTAGGATCCCTCAGGTGTCACATTAGAGTGTGCAGTGTGGACATCCTGGAAGTGTCACACTGCTGTTTGTACAGTGGGAATGCTCTATCACATTGGAGTTTTGGCTGAGGGAGCTGTGCATATGACAGTGACATATGGCCAATGGAGCCTCATAGTATCATCATAGAATGTGGGCTCTGGAAATCCTGGAGCTGTCATAGTGAAAATGGGTAGTGGTATACCTAAAAATTCACAGGGAAGTGTTGGGTGTCACAGGAGAATGTGGGAGGTAAATGACCAGGGGTTAAAAACAGAATATTGGCAATGGAAAACCAGGTGTTACCATGGAGTTAGGAAACTGAGATACCTGGATTCCCAGTGTTGTGTGGACTTTGGGATCTCTGTGTTGTCACAGTGGTGTGTGGGTAATGAGAACCCTATAAAGTTTAAAGGAACTGTGGACTGTGGGAACTCAGGGGGTTCACAGAAGAATGTGGGCAGTGGGAACCCTGTGGTATCATAGTGAAGTATGGGCAGTGGGGGCCCTGCA